CACGCCCAATTTTTCAGTTTTTTATTTGTTAAAAAAGTTTGAAATATCCAATAAATTTCGTTCCACTTCATGATTGTGTCCCACTTGTTGTTGATTCTTCACAAAAAATTACAGTCTTATATCTTTATGTTTGAAGCCTGAAATGTGGCAAAAGGTCACAAAGTTCAAGGGGGCCGAATACTTTCACAAGGCACTGTATCTTGTCATACAAGTGTATACAGTCAAATAATTACATAACTATTATTTTTATTATACACATATGTGATTGTTCATTCCTGGTGAAATTGTAAACAAGAGTGTGACAACAGGAAAGGTGAATTGTACAAGAAACTGGTGTTATATCTGTAAACGCTTTTATGTGAGAGAAAACAGGCATTTTTCTAAGCCTAAGAGACAGACCTCACAGACAGATCTGAATTTGTGGCCATGGGAAGCTCAAGGTCCCGTTCACATGCTGTTGGATGCGGGGTTCCACAGGGATCAGTTCTTGGACCTATTTTATTCATTCTTTACATGCTCCCCCTTGGCAAAGTCATCAGTCGCTTGGGAATTTCTTTCCATTGTTACACTGATGATACACAACTATATATGAAAACTGATGCTCACTCATCATCATCATCATCATCGTCATCATCATCATCATCAACTTTACCTACACTCACTGCCTGTCTGGAGGAGATAAGGGTGTGGATGAATCATAACCTTCTCCAGTTGAACAGCTCAAAAACAGAAGCCATCCTCATTGGTTCCCCTCATCAGATCAGAACATCTACCATAACTTGCATTACATTCTCTGGCCAGGACATCCCCCTATCACCGTTAGTTACAAATCTTGGTGTTAGGTTTGACCCTCATTTAACCTTTGAGGCTCACATTAAACATCTTTGCAAAACATCATTTCATCACCTCAGGAATATAGCCAGACTCTGTCCTACACTCACCCTACATGATGCTGAGAAACTCGTCCACGCCTTTGTCTCCTCCAGACTGGACTACTGCAACCCTCTTCTCATCGGGATTCCTAGCAAGAGCATCCAGAAACTCCAGCATATACAGAATAGTGCCGCTAGGATCCTGATGAGGGTGCGTAAATACGAACACATCACACCAATTCTTCAATCATTACACTGGCTTCCCATTTCCGCCCGGATTGAATACAAGGTCTCCCTCCTCACACATCAGTGCATCTATGGCAATGCCCCCACTTACTTTAAAGAACTCCTAACCCCAGATTTCAGCACGCCCCCTTCGCTCCACAAACACTCATTGTCTCCTCCCCCCTAGGACTAAGACCCGCACCATTGGGGATTGAGCCTCTTGCGCCGCTGCTCCTCACCTGTGGAATGCCCTCCCTGAACATCTGAGGGCTCCACAAATGACTGATGGTTTTAAAAGGGGTCTAAAAATGTACCTTTTTAAAAAGTGTTTTAATGTTTAAAGTTTAAATTTCTGTGCTAATCTCAGTTGGCAGCTGGTTTTAATTGCTGTATATTATTATGACTCTTTTCTGTAGCACTTTGAGATTTTCTTTAAAATGTAAATAAAATATATAAATAAAATGTATTATTATTATTATTAAGAGTTAAAAAAGAATTTAAAAGCAAATTATAATAATCTAAAGTTTTCCCTGTCTTTATTTCTCCTGATTACTTATGCAACTTAATATGTACTCAGGTGCTATTCCCTGGGACCTGTAACACATGCACATAAGACAGAAGTCTATAATTCAGCACTGCCTCTCCCAGTGAAAGCATACATATTAACTATTCAAAGTTTAGTGAGGCCTTACCTAGGACTCCTCTTCACTGAGCACACCAGTCTCTCTCAAAAGCGTCCCACCAAGCTGCTTGCTCGGCAACTTCCAGGTAACACCCTTGACAGTGAAAAAATTCTGTAAGTTCCAATGGTCTTTTTGACTTCCATCATTCTTTCAAAGCCTGGTCTGCTCTCTAAAATGTCCCAGTGTTGTCAGCGTGACTTTACATAGTCCTCAACTGGCAATAGACTTCTTTAAAGCTAAGAAATTTTTCTGTAGTCTGAGCTGAGACCAGTTCTAAATGCATGGACAGCAAAGCCTACTCCAGTGACTTTGAAGGGTGGGGACTCAGTAACTCTACATTGGAGCTGTAACTTGCTGAACTGGCTTCATCTTTAGTCTTTTACATATGTAAAAATCAGCCATTGTCTTCTTGACCAGCTATCTGTCTTTCAGAATCCAATACCTCTCCCTCACTTGCATTAGAGTATCCCTGACCCCAGCATGCATTATCTTGTCAAGATAGTACTGGACTAATAACTCTGAGTACCTATGTTCTTTAAAACTAAGCTCAGACTGCTATAGACTTCCTCCCAAACTGATAATGCTTTTCTCACCCAGTAATGGTTTCAGATATTTAATTTTTGAATCCTCTTTCATGTCGTGTCCTGATTTCAGCTGACCAATTTCTTGGCTGAAATTGTTCTCTTGTGTCACCCTTATATACCTCTGCTAAATTAAGCTCCTCTGCTGTGAGCTCCGCTCTCATCCACTTGAGCAAGTATTAGATATAAACTACCTGAAACTTAGCCCTAAGCTTAGTGTTTACCTCATCTTGTATACAGTCCTAACCTACTGATGATGCTTTGTTTGGCAATAGTGAACTAGGTCCACTCCACCACAGATTGTCCTGTATGAGGTTCTCCAAGTGATGATCTCTGGTATGTAACTCAGTAGGATTGTACTTATTGCAGATGCACTCCATTTGCAACAAATGACTTCCATTTCTGTGCTGTATTGCGTATCCAGTGAAGAGCAATTGTGTAATCTGTCCACATTTTGAGCTGATTCCTTCCCATGTTCAGTGGGAGGAGCAATTAGCAGATTATTCCCTAGCCTTGCTCCAAGCAAAGAACCCATCAGCTCCTCACAAGGCAAAGTCAATTTCTTTAGTGGCACCACCTTTGGCTATGATGCAACAAAACTTGTCATGTTTTCTCCATTCTTGTTCCTTCCACACAGATAGGCAACAGCACTGTATGCTTGCTCACTAGCATCACAATATACAGCCCCCCCCTGGGTTTCACCTGTGAAGACTGTTGTTAAAAAGGATAAACCAACATGAAGACCAGAGAGCTGTCTATGGGAGAAAAGCAAGCCAATTTGAATCTATCAGAGCCATTGCAAAATCATTGGGCCTAGCATTGGTGTGCTAACAACCAGACATCTAACAGGTCAGCCAAGGAAAACAACAGCAGTTGATGACAGAAACATTGTGAGAGCTGTGAAGAAAAACCTAAAAACATGGATGAAGTATCACAATCCATCATTTGAAGAAGACTACGAGAGCAGAAATATAGGGGCTATACCACGAGATGCAAACTATTCATCAGCAATAAGAATCAGAAGGTCTGATATGAATTCACAAAGAAATACAGAGATGAGCCACAAAAGTTCTGGAACCAAGATTAGCCTCTACCAAAGGGAAGGAAAGGCCAAAGTGTGGAGAAAGAAAGGATCTACTCATAATCCAAAACATACAAACTCACTGGTCAAGCACAGTGGAGGTAGTGTCATGGCTTGAGCTTGCAAGGCTTAGTAAGGATAGTAGCAGCAGAATGAGTTCAGAAGTCTGCAGAAACATTGTGTTTGCCAATTTACAGAGAAATGCATCCAATCTAATTGGGAGGAACTTCATCATGCAGTAAGACGTTGACCCAAAACACACTGCCAACACAAAAAAGGAATTCATCAGTGGAAAAACTGGAAGGTTTTAGACTGGCCAAGTCAATCACCAGACCTCAACCCAACTGAGCATGCATTTCAGGAATGGAGAACCCCCCCAAAACTAACAACAAGTGAAACAAACTGTGGTACAAGCCTGTAAAAGCAACACAAAACAAGAAGGCAGCAGTTTGGTGATGTCAGTGGGTCGCTAGCTTGATGCAGACGCTGCAAGCAAGGGATATGCAACAAAATATTAAGTGTTATTTACTTTAAGACTATCTGTTCCAATACATTTGCTTATCTAAAAATTGGGTGGTCTGGCACAAAAGGTGCCATGTTCTAAGTGTTTAACACATCTCAATATAAATATCAGTAAGTTTGTGTAAACACTCATACAAACACTTTTACAAATCCATTTATATCCAGCTTGATAAATGAAGCCCACTGTATAAAAGTCCCTAACTGTGCCCACACGAAGAAGAAGCCTTTATTTGTCACATAAACATTACAGCACAGTGCAGTTCTTTTCTTCACATATCCCAGCTTTTTAGGAAGTTGGGGTCAGAGCGAAGGGTCAGCCATAATAGGTTAATAATAGGGTGCCCCTTGAGCAACCCAGAACATGAACCATTTAGCCACCACTGCCCACAAATAACATTTACTGTCACATGGGGAAAATGTGAACATCACCTCAACAGTCTTCTGTAAGGCATGAAGATGGATTGAACCCGTGATATTCAGTTTACGAGACTGAACCCTTGCCACTTGGCCATCATGCCAAGCTGCACGCGTTATCATGAATAGCACAGGAGCAATAGCCTCCATCTTCTATTTCTCTTCCTATCTTCCACTCATGCTCTTACCCCATGTTTTCAGCATTAAGCAGACCACTGCTGATATTAAAGCACATATTGCCCTGCTGACATATTTCAAATGTATTAGAGATTAATGGCAGATGACTGTGAGGATCTGCAAAAACCATTAGTAAGCCTGACACTTTGTAGTCAGATTTTTTCCAAGTAATGGAATTTCCAAGTAATCTTTTTGATTTATGGAAGTGTATCCAGGTTTATCTGAAGTGATTTCAGATTTATCACATCCTGGTTAGAATTATTAATGATTTTCAATTTGTAAATCTGATGCTGGCATGTCCAGGGGAGCTTGGCAGAATCAGTAAGGGTTGACACTGGAGTCTGCAATACTTGGAGTCATGATTACAGCATCAAAATATCATCTATTTTACATTTCACTTGTTTTCCTCTCTATTGCTTCTGCTGGTTCCTACCCTTTTCTTACTTTCTATGTCTTTTTGGACTGTATGACATATCCAGATAGCTGATGTTCACTCTCTTACTTTCTCAATACTCTAATACTTTCATCATAATTCACCCTAAAATCATATTATGCTGCAAATGATCTCAGTGCTTATGTTGTGGGGACTATGCGTCCCTTTGATACGTATAACCCCTAAGGTATGACCTTTCCTGTCTAAAGCATAAATCATACCAAGAAAAGTGAACAAAGGGTTAGGACGGACACTTTTTGTTTACATGAACCCCACTTTCTGCCTGCCTGGGATGGTCATAAATGCCCTTAGATGCCCTTAGCTCACTTGTGGTTATCTCTAAGAGCAACAACAAGAATAGCCACAACACACACGACTCCAGGCCACTCTGCTCCAGGGGAGCTTACTCAACAGAAGTTCTACTGATGCAATGGCTGACTACGCTGAGCTTGCTTCATAGATCAGGACCACCAAAAAGACAACCCCAGAGCATAACTATAAAGCTTCTCTACATACCTTCTTCAATATTGGCTTTGAACTTTAGCTAGAATTAGGACATTAAGTACTCATTGTGTATGTCTGACATTAAGCCTAATTCCACTCATTATTTAACTGCCTAGTAATTACTTTCACTACATTTGTAAATATTTTCAGTTGCCATATATTTTGTATTATATTGATGCATGCCTTCCTTCTTATTATTAAACTTTGTATGTTCGATGTGTGTGTTTCTCTCGTCACAAATGAGTTCTACAATTCATCATTATATTTACCTAATTTTATATAAATCAAATGTCGTTCAGATAATAGGCAAATTATTACTTTTTTTTATCTTGGTGATGCAACCATAACCAAGTCCGATTATTTTGTTCATTGGACTGATGGCTTGGTTAATAGAATTATTATAATAATAATAATAATAATAATAATAATAATAATAATAATAACAAAAATAATAATACCCACCTTACATAAACTGATCAGGGTGTCGCTGGAGGACTAGCGGTTAGGCCATGGCGCTCTCACCGCCACAGCTCGGGTTTGATTCCTGGCCAGCGAACCAGCCCCAGCCACTGGGGGTGCACTCCCAGTGCCAGTCCCAATCCCAGATAAAACTGGGGAGGGTTGTGTCAGGAAGGGCATCCAGCATAAAAAATGTGCCAAATGAAATATGCAGACCAATGACCCACTGTGGCAACCCCTAATGGAAGCAACAAAAAGAAGATCAGCAACAACATACTGTACACTGATCATGTCTAAACATGATGCTAACTATAGAACATCCATTCTATCCAAGGTGATATTGACTCTTTCAAGAACTGGGCACAAAATCTAAATCTCATTCTTTGAAAAACATCCCTATCTCCACTTTTATCTAAAAACCTGGCTGCAATGATCAATTAATCTATATCTCTTAATCCATCTCACTCTTTTCTTCCCCTCTTTAGTCTCAGTCTGCCTATTGCTTAATTATTTTTATCCCCTCTCCTGACATTCACTCTTATAGTATTAAAATAAAACAAAATAAATAAATCAATAAATATGGCTCAAAACGCATCAGACTAATTAACTGTAAGTTTTAACTTCCTAGAAAAAAAAATCACTGGCTGAATGTTATTCTTTGTCACCTATATTAAAAGAGAAATGTTTGTTTGACTATACCTCAGTAGAGAGACTGTTTGCTGCTGGTGTGCTTTTCAAGCAAAAGTCTGATTATTACATTCTTACATCAGTTCATATTCATACATATATGTAGCTACTAACATTTTCTCGTCTCTCTTAAATTTTTTTTTCCTTATAAAAAGGTTATGGGGGGGGGGTGTATTGGAAAAACAAAACTTGGTCGTGACTTGGAGATTTCACCTTTTGTGTTAGTAGGAGGGAAGCTTTTGAAGTGCTCTCATGAAAATACTGGAGTGCACTATTAAGTTCATTGTTTTTTGGTTCTGCCAATGATGATCTTCTGAAGACACAGAACAATACTGTTAGATGTTCAGACATATTTACACCCCTTGTCAGAATTTCCAAACATTATGCCCTATGTTTGCTGATTGTACATTTGTACATGTAAAATGACCTTTGAGTGTATTCTGCAGACCACTATATTAGTCTAGCTTATAATGTGACCTAAATGAAAGTTTTCCTTTTGTAGCCAACATAAAAAACTTACACTTAACTTGATCATATAGCTTTTCTGTTTCTGTGCTTATTCAGGTAGACAGGTTTGTTCCACTACAGGGGCAAAGGCAGTTACAGATTTTAGCAAAGCCTTGTAAAATCCCACTGCTGCCACCACTAACTATTATTGTACAAGTGTTGGCAGGCTACAGTGTTGACTGTAAAAATTTTTCCAAAAGGATCATTAAAGATATTTCATTATCTCCATATTGCTGAGGTCAGCTTGTCCATATATCCAGTTTACAGCTGCTGAGGGAAAATGCTGCAAGTGTAGTATAATAGGCCAGAAAATGTCCACACTAGAAATGATGGCAAATCAATATCAGGGCCCAGCTCATCAATATAAACCCCATTTCCACCAGCAGGAAAAGGCAGAAAAAAGCAAAGGAAAACAAAATAAATCAAAGAGTGTAAAATATAATAAAATAACATAGCAGTGTTCATAATGTGCTTTTGGTTGCTGTTCATAGAGCTGGGAGCTAGCTCCCAAACTAGGAGAGTTTGAAACCAGATTTGGGTTGATTTTTCTGTTAATCTACAACCATAGGATGATTGCAAATGGTGTAGTGTAACTTTATTATAGCATGGAACACAGTGACAATAACTTTGTCTCTGTTGTTCCAGTTATGGCTGGTATTAGATTTGCTCTTTTCGTTCTCTTCTGCATATGGCACACATTCAAACTATCCTGGGGGAAGCAATCAGTGGTATTCATTGCAACTAAACACCAGAAAGTAAAGACACAGCTACAAGATACATGAATATATTATCATGATTAATAGCCTGTGCTTCCCCTTTAAGTCCAAAGTCTGTGCAGCAATAGCTTATGTTAGAATATTGAAGTTTGTTGTCATTCTCTGTCGTGTAGAATTGACAAAGTACACTCAGGTTTGCACCTTATCAGTTTATTGCACAGACATCTTAAAGAAAATAAAACACATGGAAACTGAATGTAGGGGAGTAGGTTGCTGGTAAGTGCACATGCACTTGAGTGGCGCTCGTCAAATAGGGGGTTCAACATGTTAACAAGTTCATTTTAAAAATATGAACAGGATCATAAACTACCTGATGAAAAAAAAAACACATGTGGACACTGAACATAGGGGAGTAGGCTGCATGCTAGAGTAGAAGAAAGGTAAAATCAACTAGTTTTCATGCAATGTGACCATTCATCTTGCAAAATACACAATTGTCTGTTCTTACTTAAAAATAAACTATTACATGTTTTACATGTAACTTACCGCTGGTGTGGCACTCATCAAATAAAGGGTGGTTGAACTTGAAATGCTGTGTCATATTGATGAACTCATGAACAATCAATCACAGTATCTGCAAAACTATAAGGGATTGCCAAATTATTCCAAAAAAGAAAAAAGTCCATAATGTAACCCAATAGGTAAGCCCTATGAATTTGTGGATTCATTACCACAATAAGTCTGGACACTGGTTTGAAAAACCTCCCTGCTCTTGATCTAAACCTTCTTAGAGAATCTTGATCTATAGGTAGAACAACTGGCCTTTTCAATAAAATCATTGAGCCCGTACCAGAACTGTCAGTTTGTAAAGGGTCAGCAAAATGTTGTTCATTGTCCCAAGGATGAATATTTGACTTGTCAGGGCAAGATCATTCAGAGTCACTGATACTCTGTCTTGCAAAATCAAGACAGATTGTGCAGCTGGTCAGAGAGTACAGGGTTGGCATGTTCAGATGTCAAAATGTCTAGGTCAGTAATGTCAGGAGCTACCACAGCCTAAGCCTGTTTTTTGTGTCCTAGCTATCAATGCTTGTACCATAGTATCGTTGAATAGTCACATCTGATTGCTCAGAAGGTGTGCATTATTTTTGCATAACAGCACAGGACAGTACTTCCTGCTGTAACATGAATGGTAGGTTATTATCTATGTGCTTGTTCTAATACAGTATTATTTCTGTAGTTACAGCTCAAATACACTGACTTGAACATTGGACGCTGTACATGATTTAAGACTAATAATAAATGTGTTGTTTTACAAAGTAAAACGTATAATCCTTGATGTAGTCCCACTGTTTATTTTTCTTTATTTTATTTTATTTTATTTTTTTACATTTTTTTTAATTTAACTTTCATGGAAGGAGTCCTGGTTATAAGCACTCTGTGTCAGTCAAAGGTTTCCAGCACAGTAAAGTCACAGTAAAGGAGTTTACACTTTCTAGTTTCTCAGTAAAGTGACAAGTGAAAAGAGAAAGAGAAAGAGAGAGAGAGAGAGAGAGAGAGAGAGAGAGAAGCAGATGCAGGTGAGTGAATGACTGTTTATTGCAACTATATAGTAGGTGAGATCAGGAACTAACTTGTCTCTTGGAGGTTCCACAACACCTGAAGCTAGGACTGTTTAATATTAGAGCTCTTACAATCTAAACAACCTATTTTTAAGGATATTATTCCTTATCAGGAGTTTAATGTACTGTGCTTAACACAAATGTGGATTAAACCAAAAGAGTATGTATCATGAGCCTTGTCTAATTGGCAGAGTAGGAGGTGTCGTGGTTATTTAAAATAATGGTCTAGGCATCACACAAAAACCTGGACATAATTTTAACACATTTGAAGTTTATACTAACATAAGTAGCCACAGAAAATTTACCCAGTCGATTCCACTAATTATTATTTACAGACCCGCAGGGCTGGATTCTGAATTTATTCATGAATTTGCAGATTTCATCTCAAACCTGGTTGTTTCTTTAGACAAAGCATTAATTGTTGGAGACTTTAATATTCATTTTGATAATCTGGAAGACCCTCTAAGAACAGTGGTTGTGTTCATTCTAGATTCAGTAAGGGTTAATCAGAATGTAACAGAATCCACTCATGGTGGTCACACTTCCACAGTCTGATGCTTAGATCATTACCTCATCTCATTTAAAATGTGTCTTAGTCATAATATATTCACTCTGCCATGCTACCACATCAAATGTACATTGATGTCAGCTACTGCTAATAATATTATCAATAATCTCTCAGAGTTAGCAACCTTGTCTGGATCACCGTTTGACCCCACAGGATTTCATCAGGTGACTGAATGCTTAGAGTCAACTTTCTGCTACAGTCTAGAAAATGTGGCTCCATTTAAAAGAAAAATAGAGAGAAAATATAGGTGCAAGCAGCAATTATGGGACCAAGCACAACAGCGGAAAAAATTTGCTGTGAAGCTTGCCACAGATTTCTCAGGTACCTTCAGTGAATATGTGCCAAAAGGCAAGTTGAGTTAAAACAGTAATGATTATTGTAGTGATGTGATTGTAGTGACAGTAGTGATAATTTTATGCAAAATAAACCATAAGTAGAAATACTTGAGGTGTATTATAATTTCATATATTAGATGGGCTGTCGCCAAATTGATATGGCATTTTCTGGGGATGGTTACAATGGCACATATAAACGTTCACCACAATACATCAAAGAGTTGCACAGATTCAGCCTCAGATCATTGTATTTTTCTGAAAAACTACAGTATACACTGCCCTCCAAAAGTTTGGAAACGCCTGAACAAAATAGGGTTTTTGGGCAATATCAGCATAAATCCTCTTTAGTTAGTGACCATTTTGCATTGATAATAAGGGACAACACAAACTATGAAAACATATTTTATTAAATAAAAAGTTTATGAACATAAACATGAACATAACATAGAAAAATACTCAAATTTT